AATAAATTCACATTCAATTAATGCATTTTCGATTAGTGTGCTAAAATTTATATATACCAAAATTCGATTAGTGCATACATAATACTCGTTTAGTGTGGTAAAACATTCTTCAGTTTAACCATAGTAATTGAAAATTGTTTTTTTTTATATTTTCTAATGTACAAATTAGCTGTACTAATTGAGGAATTCCTGTTTATATATATATATATATATATATATATAACAGGAATCCCTCAAGTAGGGCCCGTGGCTGAGTGGTTGGAACATTTTTTATTCTGATCCAGATTTAAATCTCACCATGGTTGATTTGTCAGGAAGGAAACTTCTGGATGTTATCAGACGGGAGGGGACGATCCCAGCGTGTGGCACCTTTGGAAAGTACCTGAAAACCATACCATGGATTGACCCAAGCCTTGCGAGTGAAATTGGGTAGACAGAACCCTTGTGGCCAAGAGTTTGAGTGTTCTGGCCTTGATTAGATTGTTGATCACACTAGATGACATGCTCTTTCCCAGAAACTGTAACTAAGTTTTGCTCAGCATAGTTGCAGTATAAACCACAGGTGGGCTCTGTGGGTGTTGAAGAAACACAAATGTGCCTGAGTAAGCATCTGCAATAGGGTTTGGCTAGCCACCCTAGTAGACGAGTATCCTCAAATATGAATGGCCAGTTATATATATATATATATATATATATATATATATATATATATATATATAACAGGAATGAAACATATGTATACATGAGAAAGGAATTCCAATATCATTGAGAAATATTTATGAAACAGCATTGTAGCAAGAGAAAAAATTCAAAACATTATTCTGAAAATAGTTTCTAGTAATGGTATCTTTGGAAATGTGGATATGAAGTTAGCTATCTGTAACAGATGACATGCTAAGTTATCTTGAAGCCATTTAAGAGTCAAGTATACTTAAAGAGATTCTTATCAAACTTGAATTCAACATAAGTGGTCCTCTAGGCAGACTGATTCTTCATAATTGTTATTAAAGTGTATGCTGGCTGCTTAAATAGAATAAAGAATTAAGAAAGTGTGGATGCTCTTAAAAGATAAATCCTTTGGATATTTCTATTGGAAGAAATCAGACAAGACATACACACAATTGGTTAGAGAATACTGAACTTTTATCTGCACTTAATTAGTAGCTTTTCATTTCTGCTGTCTTTATATTTTCAATGTAATTTTCTAATAAGACTTACTTATCAATGAACTCAACATGTCATTCAGCAATTTCTCAATTAACCTGATATTCAACTAAGTTTATCATCTGGATTCTGATGAATAGCGCACATAGCGGAATTAGACTGGAAATAGGGCAAAAACAATGTGGCTTTGTTAAAGACACTGGAATAAGAAATGCAATATTTATGATCAGAATGATATTAGCATGAGCAAAATGTAGAAGGATGTATACCAATGTTTTATAGACTATACAAAAGCATTTGATAAGGTATGACACAAAGATCTATTTGAACTGTTAGGAAAATTTGGTTTATTTGAGAAAGATATTAGAACAATCCAGAACATTTACTAGGAACAAACTACTTGTATATGTATAGAAAATGAATTGAATAAGTACACAAAAATAGAAAGGGCATAAAGACAATGATGTATCTTCTTACCAGATTTATTTCATTTGTATAACTAGGCAATCCTAACAGAACTAAAAGTTCTATCAGGATTTATTATTGGATGGAACAAGCTTAAATATACAGATGTCACCTTGTTGATGGTAAACACAAGATAGAAAACTGCAAGTAATTTTAGACAAGGTAGAAACGAAAGTGAGAATTATTTCACTGTGTGCTTAACTTTATAAAGAAACTGTTCCTTATGGAATTATAATCCATATTATTTCAAAAAAGGTTTTTGTATATAAATGAAAAGAAAATAACTATGTTAAAAATCATATTTCTAAATAATAATAAAATTGTTAACTTTTTGTTTAATTAATCCAATTGAACAATGAAATGTAATTCACCTCGATTGTTGTGAATTGAAAATTTACAAAGCTTTATACAAAAACAAAAATATTACCAACCAATAGAAATTACCATATTTAACTGACAAATTTTCAGATTTGTCAACATGTTTCATAACTGTGAATTAGTGACAAGTGACCTCTCTGAAGTCTTTTGGCAAATGTTTAGTGGGAAATAGTTGATGGTAACTTAGATTCATGACAGACTGATTGGAACAGAAATATATAAGTAATAAATAATCAAGTTTATCCATACCATTTAAAATGAAAGTATATATGAAATTAATATTTTTTTTAAGTCCTTACTCTTATTAGGTTTTCACATGTAGGTCTTTTATATATATATCATTTTACCCCAAGAAAGGCAATAATAGAGAAATATAACTACAGGAGAGAAAGAGTAGATTTTAGAGTCTTAATCCACTGGAGAAGAACTTGTCATAACCTATTGTTGATAAATCTTGGTCTTAGTGTAAATACTAATATATAGGGAGCAATGGATAAATTGTCTAAATTACACAAATATGAAAATAACACTTACATCTCATTTTAACAGATATATTTACTAAAATTACACAAAAATATCTTAAAATACTAAAGAGTAAATTTATTCAATAAAATCACCATTGGCTTCAACCACAGCCTCCAGATGACTTCAGAATCTCCTGCAACTCTTCTGGATGGTCTCCTTGTTTAAGTTGGTGAATACTGCCATAATTTTTGCCTTCAGTTCATCTTTGGTATTACAAGGAGTTTTGTTGGTCTATTACTCAACTGCACTCCACACATAATAATCAAAGGGGATACAAGTCTGGGGAGTTAGGTGGCCAGATGTAAGGGGTGATATAGTCGCAGAAATTGTCTGACAGTCATGACTGATTTCTCTTGCTTGTGTGGTATGGTGCAGAATCCTGTTGCCAGACATAGGTCTTCCAGTAGCCACTCTCTTGACTCAGAGCAGCACTAACTCCTCAAGGCACTTGATGTAGGCCTTCATGTTGAGACTGGGATCCTTGCCAACAAATTCAGGAGTTCTTTTCTTGTCAGAATGATCAGAGTGAATTTTCCAAGCTGCCATACATTTATAATCACCATTAGACTCATCCAACTCTTTCTGACTTCTCTGCACTGTCCTCAAATTGACACCCAAACACTGTGAAATGTTTGCATTGGAGCTTCCGGTGTGAACACCAAGTAGTAGAGCATGCTGTTTCCAAATTTCTGATGACATGACTTGCATTATGGTGCTCTTTTTCTCACAGACAATGCCCAACTGACCCTACAACACTGTGCAGTCAACAAATCAAAAACAAACAATGTTCATGCACAAAATTAAAAATATAAAATGGCGACAATTTACCTATCGCATTCTGTAGTATTAGTTTAGAAAGAAAATCCTGTCATTTGTTTTGTCATGATAACTTCAAAGTTGTTATTTGCTTATATAAAACATTTAAATTAGTGTTTTGGCATTTCCGCTTTCCTTTCAGGAAAACTTAATGTCAACTTGAACAATTCCTTTCATTGATGTGAACCATAAGAATAAGTATAGATGAAACCCATTTGAGATACTGAATGCTTTATGGTTCAAAAAGGGTTCATCAGATTCGGAAATGGCAAGGAATATTTGCACTTTCCACGAGAAGAAAATCTTAAGTATCAAGAAATGCCAGCAATGATATATTCCATTTCAGTTGGGGACTCCCCTTCATTTTACTCAAGCTCTCCTAACCCACACTTGGAAAGAATCCTCAGCTGATAGTCACCCATACAAGAATTAACACCTACTTCCATGAACTCATGTAGCTGGATGTTTATTTCCAGTAAATAGTAATTTCCTATTTTTCATAAAATGGGCCACGCAACACTGCAGCAGTGAAAGTATTAAAAATATTCTGCATTTGATCAAGTCTTATAAATAATCAGCATTCAGCTTTGTTTTTCACTGTATTTTTTTTTTGGGGGGGTGGGGAGGAAGATTACACTGTATTATGAGTGGGAGACTTGGACACTCCTGGTTGAGACAGGGAAAAAACAATCATAGCATTTGAGAAGAAAGTGCTTGAGAAAGCTCCTTCACATCTGCTACTGGGAGCACAAAATCAATGACTATGTATGGAGCAAGATCAAAAGTCTTGTGGGCTGACAGGGATCTCTTCTTACCACTATTAAGTTTCAGAAGATGGTATCATTTGGTTACATCACATGGCATAACAGCTTCTGCAAGACAATCATGCAAAGGCACTGTTGAAGGCAGACAAGCAGGGATAGCAAATAAGAGTTGTTCACACATCAAAGACTGGATGGCCATGACAATGCTGAAACTCCTGAGAGCCATTACCAACAGAACATTCTGGAGGAGGTTGTGTATTTCTTCTGCCCTTACGTTCCCCTAACAATTGAAGTAGTGAAGGGACTGATGATGATAATTTTTAAAAAAACTTATTTTTGCATTTTTTACTCTCAGTGTTTCTAAATTTCTACTAAAATGAATAAAATATTCAGAATGGACATTGTTAATCAGTTTTTTTTTTCAAGCATATTTTTCAGTAGCTGATCATGTGACTAGAATTTAAATATTTTTGTTAAAAAATAGATGGTTGTTGCTGCTTACTGATTGCTTCAGTCAATTGTCTTTTGTATGCATTGTTGCTGCTATCACCCCCACACATTTAGAGTAGAGGTTCTGCTATTCACAAACAATTGTTTGCTACACTAAATTTACAGTATTTACTTCTTTACATAAATATCATTTGAAATTTAAATAGTTACTTGCACAAAATAAATAAAGCTTTTAACATTTAAACATTGTTAACAAACTTTGATTATTAAATTAAAATTAACTGATATTATTGTAATCTCCAATTACACCATCTTCAATTTCTGTATATTTCTTGCTAAAATATTTTTCTATTGGTATATTCATTTGAAATATATCAGGTGTGTTGATTAATAAAGGAATAAATGAATGCATATTTACAAGAATAAGAACAAAATTACCTGTTGCGAGAGAATCTGTACAGCTTCTGAATGTTTAACATTTCTCAGATCCTCTCCGTTAACAGACAGGATAGCATCTCCAACATATAGCCCCTCACATCTTTCAGCAGGCTGACCAGGATGGATCTCAGAGATAAGGATGGGGACACCATGTTCTTTACCCCCCTATAATAAGAAAATAAGAAAAGTCAAAGGTATACTTAGTCAGGACATTTTTTTTTTTAAATCTGAAAGTTTAAACAAATATATCCAGGATATACAAAGAAAACATTAAAAACATGCATTAAACTTTATAAATTTATATTTGTTCTTCTTTTATTTGCAAATATAAAATTAATCTTGTAAAATCTAATAAAATAAATAAAGGTTTAATACTTTTCTTGACAATCCTCAAGAAAAAAGAAAAGTAAAAAAGAATGCATAAACACTGTTTCATGTTTGGGATTTATTAAAATTTTAAAAATAACTTTTTAAAGCAATAAAAATTGTCAAGGAACTACACATTAAATGCAGTGTCAATAGAAAAACCACTCTTTTGAAAAACCATTTTTTTATGGGTACAAATGTTAAATTTTACCAAAAAGCCAGGATGTAACTTGTTTTCAAGTTACTTGGTGGTAGTCCTGACCATGTGGGCAGAATATTGTTTTCTGCTCATTACTGCTGAGAAAACGACTTTTCAATTGTTGGAAGAAAAGCTTTCTGAAATATTCTCATGTATTTTACACCATTAAGAAGCAGCTCACCAGGACCAACATCTAAAAAGGCTTTCCACACCATGACACTTTTTCCATAATTAACTGTCATAGAGATTAATTCATTATTGTATTTCTCACCAGATTTTCAAAGACACGTCTCTGGAATATCACCATGAAAATGAAATCTTGATTCATCACTCCATACAACTCTGCAGGATTATTCTGATTTAAACTTTCCATAATTTTTATCTGAATTTCTGGGATGAAGATTTATCATTATTTACATTCAGAAGCATGGTGGAGTAGTGGATAGCAACTCAGATTGAGGAATCAGAGAGCCGAGTTCAAATTCCAGTCAAATTCATTATATTCACTTATGTGCTAATATCCTTGGGAAAGGTACGAATCCTCTTCTTCTCCCCCCAGTTATGGGTAAATAGCAGTACAAACTGGGTTCTTTAGCCTTGGATGACAATTGGTCTACCGCAGAAGAAATGGCAACCTACTGTGAGAAAAAATCTGCCTCGTCAGTCATGTATCGAAAGATACATGATCGCCTAAGCATGTATCACGCATGGCACATAACTGACTGACTTGAAGATATTATCCCAAATGCAAATAATATAAATAAACTTTCTGTACTCTGCAAAGAACTTCATTTTGTCTTTGATGTTTATCTGAGAAATCATTGCAATTCAAACACGTCTTCTACATACAAAACATGCACAAGATATTTTTTCCTTTTCTTTGAGAACTCTGAATTTTAGTAAGTGGTCATCCTTGTATAATGAATCTTTAGGCATTTCAGATTATTTTTTGACAGCATTACTGGTTGTTTCAAATCATTGATCTATTCTTTTAATAACTGATGCAGACATGGGGATTCCCTTTTTTGGGGGTGGGGTGTCATGTAAATTTCAGAATAGTCACAGTTTGCCTTATGAAGACCATCTTTGTAGTTTCTGACAGCAAACACTGACTGATGTTTCTGCTTTACTATGACACTTAAAGCACTTAAAGCTCTCAGTACTCTAGTAATCTTAGTTTTATTTATGAACCACTGCTTTGTGAAACCAACACCCAAGAGGATGCTTTCCCAATCATTAAAATCTTAACCTGTCCAAGTCTAGGGTTAACTATTATTTTCCCTATCTATCCACATAAACTGCCTTTTATTTTGTAACCCTCTATATTGAGCAGCTTTCAGGAATTCTACAAGATGAATATTTTAAAACAAAAAAAATTGTAAGTTTTAAAAGTTTCATATTTTGCCATATTGGGCAATATATATAAAGTAAACATGGAAGAAATTATATTCTCTCTCTTTCTCTCTCTCTCTCTCTATATATATATATATATATATATTTAGGCAGCATATCTTTATTCAAACATGTTTCATTGAATAATATAGACATATGTCTATTTTTATAATGATCCTTTCCAGTTCTCTAATCAGTTTCTTGATGTTAAGATGATTTCATCGAGGAAGGCACCATAGTTTTTTCCTACCCAAGTACTTTCAAACTCCTCTGAGATCATCCTCAGGGGTGAATTACAAAGGTAAACTTATTGTAATTGTGATAAAATCTGAATTTCGTTGTGATGGTGATTTTTTAAAAAACACATGTGAACACACTGTTATAATTAATTTTTAAATTTCTCTCTCAGAAACTTAAGTGGGCTCTGTGGATATTGAATAACACAAATGTGCTTGAGCAGATATCTGCAACAGGGATTGTACAGCCATCCTAGCAGATAGGTGTGCTTGGAAAATGAACACCTTTTATTTATATATATATATATATATATATATATATATATATATATATGTAACAATTATTATTAAATAAAACCAATAAATTTGGTTGTACTGTTATTTGCTTAAAGTTCAGTCAGTATTTTCCCTTTGTATTGTAGATTGCTTTATTTCTTTTTTCTTGATGTCAAATGTGTGTGTAATTTGCTCCTTGTTTACAACTTGAGTCAGTCTCTATTGGATTTGATTTTAGTGTTCTTTGATGATGTTGTTCTGTAGGCAAAGAACAATGCAATGAAATCCAACAGAGATTGACTCAGAGTGTAAAGAAAGAGGAAAAATACATCATAAAAAAAAATGAATCAATCTATACAAAAGGAAAATATTCTCCAAGAATGGCTTTTTCGACCTATGAAACTTTCAAAATTCTTACACGTATCAGATCCAACTATCTGTTTCTTGATATGAATGGAGACAAGAAAAATATCAATGAAAAACTAGCAAAACACATTTTATCAGTGACCTTTAATAAAACTTGTACCAAAGTGTACAAACTGTGCCAAGAATTTGAAAACACATGTTTAGCTATAAATGGAAGACAACCTAATGTAATGTTATGTGGTTAGTTTAGACTGGTTGATTTTATCTATGTCAACTGTTGTTGGGTTATATAATGTCAAAGTCTTTTTTAAATCCAGAACTAAATATATGACCTATAGGACAAAAACACAATGAATTAATAGCTTAAATGTTCACTTTTCCATATTAATTCCCATCAAGAATATTGCTCTTATTTTTTTAATGTTCAATAGAATTTTAAAAAAAATCAATTTAAAAAGTAGAATTTAAATATGAAAATGCAAGTAACATTTATAAAATTCAAGAATTAGCCGTAACAGGTGGAAATGGCATGTTAAAAGTCTTTGCTAAGAAGGAGAAAATAACGCTTGCTATAATATTAATGACATGGAAAATGTTCCTTTAACAATACCAAATGTCAAAGCGAGTGAAAGAAAGAGTCAGACTGAACTTGAAGTGTGACAATCAAGTAAAGCAACTGAAATGTGAAAAATGATTTAAAATGGAAATTAGTTCTTTGACAGAATTATGTTGAAACAGTTTGTTTTTTCCAGAAATCTTTTGGAGTTTGTGACAACTTCATGATTTATTTGTGATTTCTTATAAGGTGGTTTTTGCCAATAAGGCAAAAACCATCTTATGAGAAGATCCTTAAGTATAGAGATGTAGTTGAATTTAAGATTTTCATTCTTTTTGGTTTGGTAAATGATTTGGAGGAATCAGAAGAGTTTTTTTTTTTTTTTTAGTTAGTATTTCTGGTGATATACCCTTTGTTTTCTTGTTTATGATTTTGTATTTACCTTCCCTGATTTACTTTTATTTCTTACAAATTTTGCACATTCATGTGTATGTTGGATCCTCTCCATGACATTCATGTGTGTGCTGGATCCTCTCCATGACAGCACATACCTTCTTTGCAAGGTCAAATTTTGAACAGGCGTACTCTTAAATCTTTTTCCCAGCATATTAGCTATGATTGATTTTTGTTTTTAATATTGTTTATTGTAGAAAAGCTTACTTTTTATATTATTTAGCATATTATGTATATGTTTATTTATTATATCAATGATATACTTATATAATCGATTTAAAAGAGTTTTAAATTTGATGTGTACACTTATTGTGCTTTGGACTTCTTTTGAAAATGCTTTAACTAATGACCTTTAAAAGTTTTTACAAAACACCTACAATCCTCTCCTGGCACACCAGTTGGAAATCATTGTGTTAGAGGAAATGAAATGGCATACAATAGTTGTGGTACTAACAAGCAACCATAATGACTCAGAGATAACCATTTTCAAGAAACTAGCTAAGTGAACAGGTAGGATAGCAATTCAAACTCCAGAAAGGTATGCACAGTGATGCACACCAAGTTCATATTGTCTGTGATGATTCTGGGGGTTGAAAGCAATGAGAGCTCTGTCATGCTGGCTTAATTCTTCTGTCTGCATCAAAGTCCTCTGCTCCCTTCCATATGGCTTATGTGACCCAGGAACAGCTGGCTAAGATTTTTTCCCAATCATGCTGTATCCACCATGTTTGCCAGTCAGTTTGCCTCCTGGTTTGAATTCCCTGGGGAGAGTTATCTAGAGGAAGACCAAATATCCGTCCCACAATACCAAGACTATCATCATGGATATAATAGCCAACATGAATGAGAACCTTTATCTGAGCGTTAATTAAGGTCATCCTTGAGACTGAGGTCGGTTTTATTGAATAACCTTGTATTGCTTTTTTTAAGTTGAATTTCTTTGAAAATATATTGATGTTTTTCAATTATATATTATTTAAATTATTATACAAAAGGAAACATGTTATTACAAAAAATAACATTTTACACTGATTGTATTAAATGCATTATGGCAATGGTAATATTGACTGGTCCCTAATAAGAAAATATTCAGCATTCATCCAGTGCCATTTTCAGCTGAAATTTATAGAATTTTTCTATTAAAACAATTTTTCAGAAAAATAGGCTTCTCAAGTCCACTGTTATTGTTCTTTCCAATATTAATAGGATTTTCCTTCCTAACCTTTTGGTTGAAGAAGTGTAGAACGTCAACATCTTCATTATGTCATTAGTTACATGTGTTATCTATTTTATAAATGAATAAAACCATTGTTTATTTTTT